GTGAGTCAGAGAGCTGTCTGAGTCTTTGCGCCCTGGGGATTGGGTTTGCATGGCTATTACTGCTCAGTCTTCATTAAGCCCCATCCAGCTGTGCAAGTATGTGTATATGTGTGCGAGTTATATCTTGTGTGAGCGAGCCTAAGTATGAGAGAGGGAGTTCTATCCTCTTCCTCGATCCTTCACCGTTCCCCCCCCTCCGTCCCCTCACATCCCTCCCTCGGTCCATCAGCCTGTGGCTCCTCCTAAGCTATCATTAATTCCTACACCTGGCTCCCTCCTCATCTTCCTCTATGAGAGCCATAACATCAGCCCTTTCTTCTGCCCTCCATCAAACATGCCCTGTCAGATAGTTAAAGTCACACAGCCCACAGACACACACACAGAACTCAGCACGAGCACACACACTTATAGCCACACAGGCTAATGTTCGGAGAAAAAAATCGATGAACTGGAGATTCGGCTTCTGCAAATTCCCAATTTGTGTACATCATACAGAAGGCAATACTATTCTCAATAGCTATTTTGAACAAGGTGCAGTCACTCCTACAAATTAAATGAGTGTAACGTAAAAATAAACATGCACAAACCAAATAGGGACAAACAATTGCATCACAGTGCACAGACTTTCCACACACTTATTGGACAAGAGGGTTGACTACATTTACACAAAAACGAAATTAAAATAAATGCAATACCGCCTCTCATCAAGGTTCAGTCAAGTATTGTGCTCTGTAACCACTTTACAGACAGGTCTGGCTTTAGAGCCACACTGACCCCTGCTGGCCAGACTCACAACAACAACACAATCTGAGGGGCTTTCAGTCATGCTAGAACCATCTCTCTACGCAGCTGAAAAACTGTCAGAGGAACACCAGTGTGGCTCATTTAGATGCAGGGACATGTTCTTGCCTAAAAAACTACTCTACTAAACTACTAAAAAAGAGGTTGTATGACTATAAATAGGGTATATTTGATATAATTTATGTAACAGCTGTTCTAACGCTGATTTTTGAAACCAGCCTTGATGTGGAGTTCTGAAGCAGAGAGCAGAGGTGATAAGGGGACAATGTACAAAGCTGAATTCATGATGGAAATGACTGTGTGATGGAGAAGATAAGGCACTTCCTATGCCGGGCCTGGGGTCTTTTCTGTACTGGTCCTTTTAGTCTTTGACAAGTTTTCATTTTGTCTGATTCTCGGGTTGTGATCGCAATCTGTTTGATTTGCTATTTCAACGCCATTACTCTCTGTTTCTTACTGTCTTTCTGTAAGTTAACTCCGTCTCATGCTCTGTCTGTCTGCTCATCAGGTTTCCTGGATCCTTGGCTCAATGTGGGCAGCCGAGCAGAACACACAGCTTCTAAGATCCCTGTGCTGCCACCCAGCAGAGGAACTACTGTATATGCAACCCAGTCTCACGGCATTTCACGATATGTTATATCATGTTATAGTCACGAAATTAATTTAATCTCTTGATTTGTGTTCACCAACACGATTTTCGCATTTTTTTCGTGTCACACAGAACGATTTTAAAAGCAATGTATTTCTATTGGTAGTCTATGTTTCGTGCCTGCACCACGTATTTTTATCCGGTCGGGTCTTGGAAAACCAGAAGCTGTGTGGTTCATAAAAACAGGTTCTTACTCAATATCTTACCCTAAGACTAACCCTAACCCTTTTATTTAAAATTATATAATGTCGGAGTTTTTTTGCCGTCCGCGAGGAAAATAAATGAGGCTCAGAGCCTCACAATTCTGAAATCTGTATTTTTTTTTAATCCGTTTTTCCTTCTAATTTGTTATTATTTACATTACTTTTAAAATCGTTCTGTGTGACATGAAAAAAAATGGCGAAATCGTGTTGGTGCACACGAATCAATAGATTAATTTCGTGACTATAACACGAAATGCCGTGAGACTGTGTTGGTATATGCACAGCAGAGGATCAAGGTAAAAGTAAAGAGTCCTCACAGTAGAAGTCCAATAACACCTTTTATGACCAGAGATTTTTCTGTATCTAGGGGTGAATGTTTAGCAGCTCAGAAATTGCTCCCAGGCGTCACATACCTCCAAGGTTATGGAATATGTAATGATACACATCTGGTGCATTTAAATAAAAACAGCTGAGGCTGCAGGACTATAATATAGAATTGTATTTTTTTTATTGCATCTGGTCTTTGACCCCATCTACTTTTATGTAGCATATGAACTGTAAGTGTGATATACTACACATTCTCATTTCCAAAATGTAACACTGTTTATAGACTAAGTTTAGATGCTCGCATGCTAAAGAGAAACCCCACAGTATGAAGGAGACATAAAGACCACAGCAAAGGCAGGTGCATAACCACATTAAAAGAATGGGCAGGCAGACAGATGGACAGGCAAGCAGTTAGGCCCGGGAATGTCTGATAAGAAAAAGGAATCACATTTACTACAAAGCTTTCCAAAACAACTAGAGACATAAAAACGATGGCAATGCCCCCTGGTCACTTTGACTCCATCTTATTTAATCATTTAGTTTGGTTCTATTGTGGATGGGAAACTTCAAGACAGACAACTGAACCAGTAAATCATTATAAAAGGCAGTTCTCAGTCATAAAGCAAGCATCAGACTCCTGTGAGGTTTACTGGGAGGACTCCAAACCAAAAACAGCAAACAAGCCAACGGCAGAAGGTTTATGCTTATGAGGAGACAGATGTTGACTCCTGGAGGCAGTTTGTCATGGCTGGAAAGCCTGTTAATACAAAACTATCTGAGAACAAGAATTCAAGTCACACTTGTGTTCTTCACTGATATAAAATACACGTAATGTAAATTATGCAAATCAGCATGATAATCATGCTCCACTAAATGTACAAGTTGGTTGAGAATCTGTCCATCGCTCTAACCTGGTGGGGGGACGTGTTACCATGATAAACCCTAACGTTTGATACTTAACATATTAGAGTAAAAACTTAATTAACATGAACAAGTGAAAAAGAGAACAGTATATGACGACGTTAATACAGACCAATGCTTTGCTCTATTGGATTGAACCAAAATTGTGTAATGTCATCTGTCTAAACCTGTAGATGTCTTCCTCTCAGAAGACTAATAATGATAAGGGAGACACCTCCGAGAGGGTTTTCAATTTGAGATGAATGACGATAAACAAACTTGCTGAAAGACTTTGTCAGCAGCCAAAAATGGAAAGCTTTCCAACATACATCAGACTATGCCAGAGAATGATCCATCACCACTGCAGTTCATGTGAAAAACACAGAAACAAGGATAAGCTACAATGAATGAAGAAGGGAGAGGCAGTGATATTCAGATGGATGTGTTGTGGGACATTTTGGATGGGTTTGTTTTTTACAAGCAGGTTGATATACGACACGACAACTTGTCAGTAACAATGCAGCAGTTAAATTCATATAACGAACTTTGAATTTCGCGCCGCTGATGTTAATGTTAAAGTAGAAGTAAAAGAACATATTCAAGGCACTGTATGGCACTGCAGCCTATAGATACATAGTGAATCCTCAGTTCAATGTGAAATTGACTATTTGATTATAATGAAGGTAATTTAGGAGTACTGAGGGTTATGAATACTCTCTTTTACATTGGAAGTTTTCCAGACTGGATTTTGTTCTCTCAATAATTATGTGGGAAGTGAACATTGTATAAGGATAGAGTTGGAAAAAATGTGACCCTATTCAGGAAGGTCTACTAAAGTGCTGAATGAAGTCTATGTGTTAGAATATGAAATCTTGCTGAGCTTTACAGAACTTCTCTTAGCATCTCCCACACGTGACTGCTTTGAATGAGCCTGAGCCAGTGTCGCGGATACTGTCTCCATGGGGCTTACTGTGGCCTTGGCAATCATCAACTTTCCTTTGACACTAGTCAGCAGTCAGGCCAGATGGCCGACTTTTGTCTTTTGGTACAATGGGCTCCATCATATCACTGTCAACGACTTTGGTGGCGTGTTAAATCCTGTTTCAGATCCGATGAAATTCACTGACTGTAGCCCAGCTCTTTAGTTCTCAGAGAAACTTACCAAATAGTTTGGACTGGCATCAAAACTTTGACACAGCGTCCCAAAGCTCCTTTTGCTCTTTGGGTTCATTAACATCTATATTGATCTAAAATGAAATGGATTAAAAAAAAATCAATAGGCCAAGATGATTTGCTTCCTCATTACAGGATGTCATATAAAGATGTTTCTAATCAAAGACTAGGCATTTAACCAAACCAACATTGATTCATTTTTCCCAAAGCTCAGACAGATTATCCCATTGACACTTTTCACTAACACTTCCCGCCGCTCTTATTATAAGAAATACAGTTAGAAATGGTTGCTTCTTCATGTCGGACTTAGAGCAGAGTAGATCTCTCTTCAAAGGTACAAGAAACAAAGAATGTTGCAGGGGAAACGCTACATTTTCTACCCATAACTTTGTTAAAGCTGTGAGCTAGAAATACAACTCACCAGTATTCCCAATCACCGTATTGGAGCTATTTAACCAAAAGAATAATTGCCTTCATAAAGCGAGATTAAAGTTCGATCTCTGTGGATTCAATACTCCCAGGAAACAGTCTGAAAGGAGCACATCTGACCATTTCTATTGATCTTATCTCGCAATTACATTAGCAAGGAAACCAAATGAAGACACTTTGAATAAGATTGTATATTGATTGACTGTATATGAGACACAGTTCTTGTATAACACAATTAAAGTGAGGCCATCATGTATATGTTTCCCTTTTTTAAGTTAATTAAGATGTTTGTAAGATAATTAAAGATGATAGAGACATGAGGATGTAAACACAACCATCATCTAATTACAGTCACACACATTTGCCAAAACACTCCCGCAGCCAGCCTACCAGGGACTGCAGATGAAAATGAGCCTGTACGGATACATCTGCTACATTTAAATGATGGACTCAAGTGCTCATGGGAATGAATGTGGATGTTTCCTTCTTAAATGAATACATATATCAAAATAACTCACGTGGTGAAGGCAGGATTGTACTTGGCTCCCAGGTAGTACGAGTATAGGTTGAACATGCCGATCATAAAGGCCACAAACACCATGATGAAGATGACCATGAACTTGAAGATATCTTTGACTGTGCGCCCGAGTGAGATCTGCAGAGGGCCGAAGCTCTCATTGGCTGGCAGGATGTAGGCGATGCGTGAGAAGCTCAGAACCACAGCGATGGCGTACAGGCCTTCTGAGATAATCTGGGGGTCTGAGGGGCGCCACTTGTTCCTGGCTGGAGGAAAAGACAGAAAGAGGACAAGCGGCAGAAAGCTGTTAACATTTCATCTGAACAAGCTACGCCAATAATACAACCGGGATTGTTGAGTGATTCTCTGATTTTGAGGGAAACTTGTTACATTGGAAATAGGTCTTTGGATTTCATCTAGCTCACATTTCACACAAAATACAATCTGATGCATCAGGTATGCAAGTTCAGTTTCAAAATGCAGGTTGAAATTACTTCTGCATTTGTGGGTTTAGGATATCTGAAATCAGAGTGAAACAATTGGTCTGAATGGTTTTTACTATCCTGATACTTCTTCTGGGTAAGTACAAAGGATACTTTTTCTAACTGTGGCATCTAAATGCAAACCAAAAGACGTTCTTAGAAATCATAATCTTGATTTTTAACAACATGTGCTTTGATGGAAGAAAGGGTACATTAAGGAGATGGATTAAGTGAGGATGGAAGAGGATGAGGGAGAAGGAAGGACAGATTATGAGACAAATGGACAGCAAAGAGAAAGGATAAAAGGATAGAGTGCAACAGGAGAATAAAGGACATAGGTATGGAAGCTAGAGAGGAAAAGTCAGACATTTAAATGGAGAGGATAATTGAACTAGATACATAAAGGAAAAATCAAGTAAGGACATAGACAGAGAAAAATAAAGTACAAAAAAACAACTGTTAAATCGTTGACAATCTATGACAAAGAATACATGAATGTAACACAATGTGTGCACAGTGCAGATAAAGGGAAGTAGTGAGAACAGCTCAGCAGTCAAATGGACTTAAAATTGACACAAGATTTAAATCTATTTACTAACGTGTCATGGCCGAGTCAGACCACCAGATGACAGCACTGATGAAGGTTACCTTGGTAAGCTAATAAGAACAGTACAGTTCAGTAACCTGCAGCAGGTTTTGATAAATTGTTTTTGGTCTGGAAGTGAAGTAAAAGTTTATAATTTTCTTGAACTATGAACATTATGAAATTCTAGAAAACATTCGAAAAAGAGAGCAGGGAAGTTAGATATGAATCATTGTCTGAGGTACTTATTTTAATCACCTTATCAGATGACAGATTTAGCAAAACAATGATTCAAGAAACTCATAAAAGCTATCACATTTCATCATGTGGTGTCAAATTGGCCTTTTTCCTGTGAAAAAGATATGATTCTTTCAGATTAAAAAATGATTTTTACTGTTATGATTAATGGCAGTCACAAGATCTACGAAAACAATAAAAGTGCGCCAAACCAGATACATTGGTAACATAAAAAACTAGCTTCCAAAAAACTTTCAAAACCTTTAATCTTATTCCTGGAATAAATGCTCACCGAAAGTAAAGTAGGCGACTTCCTCAGGTAGAGAGGCGGTGCTGATGTCTTCGTCTGGAACGTGCAGGTCCACATACTGCTGGGCTTTGGTCGCCTTCACGAACGCCATGAAGCGTGCTGTGTAGGAGGCCACAAAGATGGACAACATGCCAAAATCCAGGACGTTCCACAGGTGCATGATGTACTCTCTGGGCCCGTCAGTCCATATCTCCTTGCATTCTGACCAAATCATACCTTTAGAGGGAGACAAGTACAAACAAACACATGGATACAGCGTGAAAAGATGGAATATAGAGGATAGATACACATAACATGGAGGCTTTCACAGGCACTCAAACAAATCTACACAGTTGTTGTCCACAAAGCTTATAATTTATACTATATTCATTTATCACCACTTATAGCTCAGGTGCATCTCAACACTCAAATCCCTTCTACTCTGTCATTGTCTATTTGGAGCCCAAACAAGGAGAAAATTGCTTATTGAAAACCTGATCAGTATCATCTCTGTAACAATTACTGGGCCTTCAAAGCGTGCTGCTGAAATTACAATTACCCAGTTCTACCTAAGCCACCATTCACTGCGCACACACAAACATACGCACACACAGAAATTACACACACGCGAGCACCTGCTGCCAAGAAATGCCATGGACGGGCAGAAAATGATGCCATTACACGTAAACAAATAAAAACAGAACCATATGTGCTCCAACATACACAGACAACTCACATAATGATATTATATGCCTGTGTGTGTGGTGTGTGTGTGTGTGTGTGTGTGTGTGTGTGTGTGTGTGTGTGTGTGTGTGTGTGTGTGTGTGTGTGTGTGTGTGTGTGTGTGTGTGTGTGTGTGTGTGTGTGTGTGTGTGTGTGTGTGTGTGTGTGTGTGTGTGTGTGTGGATGAGAGGAAGAACATTAGCAGATGGGAGGCAGCTGAGGTCTGACAGATATTGCCATGGGCTATTTATCTGTTGAGTTTGTCTTTGTCTTTCTGTCACCGCTGTCTATCTGTTTCATACACTCCACCCCTCCCTTTGCTTTCATCCGTCTACCTCAAGACCTCCTGTCTTTTTCACGCTATAGTTATAATCCCTCAGCCACTTCCAAATGTCATCCGTGCCTATTGAAGGACTCAGTATGGACACTGCTTTTACACATCTGAACTGTGCTGCACCCAACTAGGACATCACTGTTTGATCTTTGGAAGATAACAAATAATGAATAATAAATAAATAATTGTTGTTAGCCTTGACTTTGGCTTTCATTCACTTGGGTGCTGCATTCATCTGTAATTCTGCCTGATATCAAAGTTGTGCAAAAAAGGTTCACAGACCCTTTCCAATGATTTATGGGCTTTGTAGCTTCTCCTTTGGATAACCTTGGTGATCACATCAATATAAACTTGCATCTTGATAAAGTACATCGACATTGATTTGAAAAGTAAATGTATAAAGAAACTCCAATAGGAAACATAAAGCTTTGAAACAACTGTATCAAGGTTATTTCTTATCATGAGGGGAAATCTGCCTTGACAGCGGCTATGTTAAACTTTATGCATTTGAATAGGCTGCATCTGTGAATAACTTCAAACACTGCCAGAGTGTGATAAGACGACTCACCCAAAACCCACTTCATGATCAACATCTCTGTCCAGGAGAACTGGGTGGTCTTGACCCTGAACACCTGGCGTGGGTGGTCTGTGATGGTCTCGTTGGGCAGGTTCTTGACACCCTCAAAGCGATCGGAGGCGTTTAAAACCAGCAGACCCAGGAAGATGGTGAAGGAGACGGCGTGGGCCACAAACTTCATAAAGGGGCTTCGCAGGATCTGACCAATCTGGGAGGGAGAAGATGGAGGGCATACAATACAGGGTATATGCAGGAATCCTGAAGTCAAATGTAAAACCTTTTAAGACCTTTTTTAAGACCATTCCATACATTTTAAGACCTCATCGCCACTTTGAGTTTTAACCGGTTGCATTGGCGACACATTTACTATATACAGTATTGATTGTCCTTCCTCCTTATCTTCCAACCATTTGGACGCAAACTTGCATTTCCCCATAACGATGTTGTTTAACAACCGGCGTAAACGGACCTTTGCGCGCTATCAAGCAGTGAGCGCGCGATGACCTGTTCAGATGGTAATACTTTTTAATAGCCTTCCTTTTTGCTAAATTGATTTATCAACTTTTAATACTTTTTAAGACCCCTCGGACACCCTGCAATAACATGCATGTTTCATTGTGTATGTGTGGCTGCCAAATACTCACTAAGGAACAAGTGATAAAAGAAGGTTAAAGAGATTAGTAATGTTTGTTAAACATTCATTTATATATTTGTGAACATTCAGGGCTGCACAACAAGCTGTAAAAACTGTATTGGAATATTATCATTCGGTGAACATGTCGTAGTGGAGTACAATGACAAAACACATTAACTTTAGACATTATTATGATTATTAATATTTATATGGTTGTGTTTATTTGTGTTTGCCAATACACCAACTTGTTTTTGTGTCAGGGAATCAGGTAGTTGATACATCTTTGAGTTGATTTTTCTTTGAACAGTTAAAAAAAGTGACTATACCCAAGAGTAAAATTGCAGCCAAACAAAACATCTGTTTTCATTTACAGAGGTAAATCAGCATTCATGGACAGTTCCCAATGTGTTGGCCCTCAGAGATCAAAACCTGAGCAGCATCACTTCAAAACCATCTTAGCAGGCAAACAGCAGCTGTTGTGATTCATGAATGTGGAAATAATGCCAGGGTAACGAGAAGCCAAACAATCAGCAGTTTGTGAAAATGCACCATATGGGGAGAAGGTAAAGCAAGGTGGTCTGCACAAGGAGCGTGAAATATGCCACCACCTTTTTATTATTACAGAAAAGTAGGCCAAAGCACCCCCCCCCCACATATACACTTTCAACCTCATACAGACATTTAACATGCCAACATTTGCCGCTCTCTAACCCTGCTGTGTTGGATATTAACTACCCACAGGATACCACTACTCTCTGGAAGCACAGTGGCACGTGAAGTGTAACAGCAGTCCACGTGGCACACACACTCCTCAACCGTGGGGAAAAGGAAGTCGTCTGGTGAATCTTAACCCTGCAGAACCTCCTCTGAACCTCCTCCTGCCCCTGGGACGGCTCTGCCTCTGTGCTGATAAGGCTGATCCATTTCACGCCTCAGCCTAAACGAGATGGTCATCCTAGGTTATGCCCACTGCTGTGAGAACTTTGTTGTATCCGTGTGATGGTGACAATAGCTGAGCTTCACTCTTCCAACAAAACTGTAGCCACTGGCAGCAAGCACAGCCAGAGTTAATAAAAAAGTAAGGTGAGAAATAGAAATCTCACAAAGCCAGAATGGAGCTGCTGTACCTTTTACTTTTTCCTAACATCTTTCCAGCTGGTAGAAGCAAGCCTGACGTACACTGTGTGCAGATAGATATCGGCCGTTAATAATTTATTATTTAGACATGAACAAAGACTTTCTGTTATAATGTTTGTATTATTTGTAATTCATAGGAATAGATAATTAGGGACACTTTCATAAATCATTTTGTTCTCATTGTTATTGACTGTGAATCAAAAAACGGACACACTATCCCATTAACCAATATATGATTTACTTGCAATCCTATATTGACATGTATGTGATTATAGACAACATTCCCATGGTGAAAAATGCTGTCTTTACATAACAATACATGGTATTTAGCTGACCCTTTTATTTAAATCTACTTGGATACACTTCAAAACTGTAGACATTCTTACAGGATCTGTTTGGGGTTAGGTATCTTGCCTACAAGCACCACTGGCCCTGAGCCATAGCCATCTTCAATAACAGCATTTTTTTTTTTACAGATCTGCAGCAGTGTGTAGCAGCCATTGCTCTTTTGTCTGCGATGGTGGCAACAAGGCTTGTACGTCAGCAGTCTCAGAAAGCTGTTCAGCAAGGTCGGCAGTGTTGGTAGTGGATGGTTTGGAGGGAGTGGCAGAGAGATGGACGACAGTCAGTGCCATCTTAGATAACCTTTCTCACCCTCTCTACAATAAATTGTGGCAGCTCTAAGCAGAGAGAAGGATGAAGGACAGGCTCAATGACTGGGAGTTGTTCCTCATCGGTGCCCAGGGGCTGAGGATAGATGATGTCATTTGCTCGACAGATTATGAAGCCGATTCTAACAATTTATGAATGAAACTTAACAAGCTTGTATGTGTTAACTTTTTTGGCCAAGTCAAATAAGACAATGCTATGTTACTGAAAATAAGCTACAATACACCAGCACATACCATCTGTATAATCACCCAGTTTCAAGGTGGGTTTCAGTCATCAGTTCAGTATTCTACAAAATGTGACATATTGTCATAATCTCTTCTCTTGCTCTTGAGTGATGGTGTTCGACAATTGGCTTTTAGAACATGTTCATGTCTCAGTGAAGCTGATCTTCTTTTGTATATTAAATCGTCATCACTCAATCATTTCATCCTGTGAGACATTCAAGTGAAATGTTGTCTTAATAAGCATATTATGCATTATCCCTTTTTATTATGCATTTTTCCGTTCCTTTCCATCTATTTTTATTTATTTTCCTTTCCTTGTGCAAATTATATAGATGACAGACTGCAGAACAGGAATGAAATAGAAACAATGATTTGATGGATCAGTGTGAGAACAGCATGTGGCATTTAGAAATGTTCTAATTGAGCAATGTGTCATTGTCTAATTGACTGTGACAGCTAGTGTCCATCCATCCATCTTCTCCCGCTTATCCGTGGTCGGGTCGCGGGGGTAGCAGTTCCAGTTACCATAAATAAAGAATTGGTGTGTCCTAAAATGTTCAACCACATACCCCATAACTTCTGTATTGAGAATGTAGTATGTTTTTATTTAGAACACTTGATTCACAAGTAACTGTAATGTCTAACTCTAAATCTGTAACTTAGACGAACAGACATAGGATAGACTAAACACGGCAAAAACGTTCCCTTCTTGGTGGAGGTGAATATGAAGGCTGATTTTCTCAACCTCACGTTGTTACTTATTATCAGTAGCCCAACACTGGAATAATAGAAGCACAATAGTAGAGCTGGTATGTTAAACATAACATTAAGTGAAGAGTTTCCCTTTCTCTCCATTAGTCTATCCCTTGAGGACATAGTCTTAATTAACAACTAGAAAATAAATAATTAACTAGATAGCATTGAATGTATTTAGATGTTTTTAATTAAGAAAAGGTAGTGATACCAAATTGTAAAAATACTCAGTTACAAGTAAAAGTCGTTTTAGTAAGGTACATAACTATTAACAAAAACATGATCTTCGACTATTTAAAGTAAAAGCTCTCATTATGCAGAGTGGACCCCTTTAAATGTCGTATCTATAAATTGTATAGGTTAGTTAGGACCAGTGTTGGGACTAACGCGGCACAAAGTAACGCGTTACTGTAACGGCGTTATTTTTGGCAGTAACTAGTACTCTAACGCATTACTTTTTAAATTCAGTAACTCCGTTACCGTTACTACATGGTGCGTTACTCCGTTAGTTTTTTTATATAGTCAACAGCCAGGCGAACAGAGATGAGAACTGTACTTAAGTACAGTACTTGAGTAAATGTACTTAGATACTTCCTGTGTCACATGCGGAGACGGGCAGTGGGCGTGTTTGTGTTGTTTACTAACAAGACTATCATGGCGGCGGCGGAGCTCAAGTCTAGTTTCTCCACCTGGAGATATTCTCACTATTTCACTTTTGTGGAGCACAAAGAAAAGAACGTTTTAGTTAAATGTAAGTTGTGTCTTGGCGGGTCAAAGATCCTATCTACTGCCCAAACCAGTAATTCAAATCTCTTAAAACATCTGCAAAAACAACATGCTGGGACGAAGCTAGTAGCTAAGACCACAGAGACTCAGCCGACGCCACTCCACCTCCACCTAAGCAACAGCGGCTGGATTTTAACCAAGGGACTGCTGGCCAGGGAAAAGTCGATAAAGCCATTGCACGGTATGTTGTAGAACACATGCAGGCTATTGCTACAGTGGAGTCACCCGCTTTCAGGGAGCTAGTTAGCATGATACCATGTCCGGGCGGCACACGGCATATGGGACGGAACACTTTTTCCAACTACCTGGAGAAAGAATATACAAAAATGGAAAGCCAGCTAATATCGATGCAATCCAGATTGCATATAATGCATGTCAAGTTGATCAACAGATTGTATTATTCTCCAATGCAATAACAGTACTGAAATGAAGGCTATAAGGGCATTAATGGGAGCCCTTTTTGTAAGTAACTAAAACGTTACTTTTCACAGTAACGCATTACTTTTTTGTGTAAGTAACTAGTAAAGTAACTGAGTTACTTTTTAAATGAAGTAACTAGTAATGGTAACTAGTTACTGGTTTTCAGTAACTATCATAACACTGGTTAGGACTGATTTAAGTTAAGCAGCATAATCATTTTGTAAGTGGAGATGATGGACCAAATGCACACTATTAAATATACTGTTGGATGATTAATCAATAATAATATGTTATTCTGTGGGTATCATAACCACTAATGCCTAATCAGTGCTGTGTTTGACAGACATCGCCGTCAGATCTCTATGGATTTTGTTGAACCTATTTACCCACTCATCATTCTTGGTGCTCAGTTTGATTAAGATAAGATAAGAAGAACTTTATTGATCCCAATTTGGGAAATGTTTGTGTTGCAGCAACATCAAATACATGGCATTGTACAATACAAAATAAAAGACTAGAAATAAACAAGAAAGTAAAAAATATTGAATAAATAAACCACGTACTTCACTAACAGCTTCACCA